TGCGATGAATTAGAAGACTGGGCCATCCGTGCCCCCATCCAAGACTTATTATGATATAATAAGGTATGTGAAGTGAACTTCTACCTCAAAAATACAAAAACACTTTAACAGTCTATCCAAAATTTACTTTCCAGATATAAAATAAGAACTACGTTCAACATTTTGTTTTCAAAAGAACAAAGGTTGCCTTTGAAATAAATGGTGGAAATGATAAACAGTAAACGTGATAATGCTTACTTAAAAAAGTGTTAACCTTCGCAACCAAAGTGTGTCGAAACAACACCTTCACAATCCCCTCTGTATAAATAATAAACAGGCACATATTCAAGTTCAAAGACTTTCCCCTTCCAAGTTCATCAATTATTAAGGTTTGTAATTAAACACATAGATCCCTCTCCCTTCTCCTCGCTGATCATCGTCCTCCCATGAAGCAATACCGCAAGTGTTTTCAGATTCCGATAGAACTGTTTTCTTTGCTTCAAGTTCAAGTTGGCAATTATTCTCCGACGCAGGGCGACACATCACGAAGATATTGCATACACTGCCGCCAAGTTGCTAGCCATCGTTATTGATTATCATAAAAATAATTAGGCAATGGAGCTTGGCTGACACCAAAATAATGTGGTTTTGCTGGGTGTTTCCCACAGTTTCTACTCGCACTTGTCTGGCGTGAGACGGAGGTGGTAACGGCAGAAGTGGTGGAAGTAAATCGCAAAGACATTACACATGCCTGATAACTTGGAAATGCTATCTTCTTGCTGACCTCTTCACATGCAATCTAAATTCTTGGCAGTATATATAGACAGAGATCTATCAGGTGGAATGGACCAGGTGGGCGTAATGTATGGCAAATATATGTACAGAATATGACACAAAGATTGTATGCAAAACATTTGAGCCATAACAAATCATTTACTTGTTTGTAGAGAATGAATGGAGAGAGAGAGAGAGAGAGAGAGAGAGAGAGAGAGAGAGAGAGAGAGAGGGAGGGAGAAGAGAAGAGATGAGAGAGAATGGGGGAGAGAGATAGAGAATGAGGGGAGAGAGATAGAGAATGAGGGAGAGAGGGAGAAGGAAAAAGAGAAAGAAGGGGAAGGAAAGAGGGAGAGAGAGAGAGAAAGAGGGAGAGAGATAGAGAGGGGAGAGAGGGGGAAGAGAGAGAGAGAGAGAGAGAGAGAGAGGGAGAGAGATAGAGACGGGAGAGAGGGGGAAGAGAGAGAGAGATAGAGAATGAGGGAGAGAGATAGAGACGGGAGAGAGGGAGAGAGAGGGGGAAGGGAAAAGAGATAGAGAGGGGAGAGAGGGAGAGAGAGAGAGAGGGGAGAGAGGGGGAGAGGGGGAGAAAGAGGGGGAAGGAGAAAGAGAAAGAGAGAGGGGAGAGAGGGAGAGAGATAGAGAGGGGAGAGAGGGAGAGAGAGAGAGAGGGGAGAGAGGGGGAGAGGGGGAGAAAGAGGGGGAAGGAGAAAGAGAAAGAGAGAGAGGGGAGAGAGGGAGAGAGAGAGAGGGGAGAGAGGGGGAGAGAGATAGAGACGAGAGAGAGGGAGAGAGAGGGGGAAGGGAAAAGAGAAAGAGAGAGGGAGAGAGAGAGAGAGAGAGAGAGAGAATGAGGGAGAGAGATAGAGACGAGAGAGAGGGAGAGAGAGGGGGAAGGGAAAAGAGAAAGAGAGAGGGAGAGAGAGAGAGAGAGAGAATGAGGGAGAGAGATAGAGACGAGAGAGGGGGAGAAAGAGGGGGAAGGAGAAAGAGAAAGAGAGAAGGGGAGAGAGAGAGAGAGATAGAGACGAGAGAGAGAGAGAGAGAATGAGGGAGAGAGATAGAGACGAGAGAGAGGGAGAGAGAGGGGGAAGGGAAAAGAGAAAGAGAGAGGGAGAGAGAGAGAGAGAGAGAGAATGAGGGAGAGAGATAGAGACGAGAGAGGGGGAGAAAGAGGGGGAAGGAGAAAGAGAAAGAGAGAAGGGGAGAGAGAGAGAGATAATGAGGGAGAGAGAGAGAGAGAGAATGGGGGAGAGATAGAGACGAGAGAGAGGGAGAGAGAGGGGAGGGGAAAAGAGAAAGAGAGAAGGGAAGGAGAGAGAGAGAGAGAATGGGGGAGAGAGATAGAGAGGGGAGAGAGGGAGAGAGGGGGAGAAAGAGGGGGAAGGAGAAAGAGAAAGAGAGAAGGGGAGAGAGAGAGAGATAATGAGGGAGAGAGAGAATGGGGGAGAGATAGAGACGAGAGAGAGGGAGAGAGAGGGGAGGGGAAAAGAGAAAGAGAGAAGGGAAGGAGAGAGAGAGAGAGAATGGGGGAGAGAGATAGAGAGGGGAGAGAGGGAGAGAGGGAGAGAAAGAGGGGGAAGGAGAAAGAGAAAGAGAGAAGGGGAGAGAGAGAGAGATAATGAGGGAGAGAGAGAGAGAGAGAATGGGGGAGAGATAGAGACGAGAGAGAGGGAGAGAGAGGGGAGGGGAAAAGAGAAAGAGAGAAGGGAAGGAGAGAGAGAGAGAGAATGGGGGAGAGAGATAGAGAGGGGAGAGAGGGAGAGAGGGGGAGAAAGAGGGGGAAGGAGAAAGAGAAAGAGAGAAGGGGAGAGAGAGAGAGATAATGAGGGAGAGAGAGAGAGAGAGATAGAGAATGAGGGAGAGAGATAGAGACGAGAGAGAGGGAGAGAGAGGGGGAAGGGAAAAGAGAAAGAGAGAGGGAGAGAGAGAGAGAGAGAATGAGGGAGAGAGATAGAGACGAGAGAGAGGGAGAGAGAGGGGGAAGGGAAAAGAGAAAGAGAGAGGGAGAGAGAGAGGGAGAGAGAGAGAGAGAGAGAATGGGGAGGAGTGATAGAGAATGAGGGAGAGATAGAGAGGGGAGAGAGGGAGAGAGAGAGAGAGGGGAGAGAGGGGGAGAGGGGGAGAAAGAGGGGGAAGGAGAAAGAGAAAGAGAGAGAGGGGAGAGAGGGAGAGAGAGAGAGAGAGAGAGAGAGAGAGAATGAGAGAGAGAGAGAGAATGAGGGAGAGAGATAGAGACGAGAGAGAGTGAGAGAGAGGGGGAAGGGAAAAGAGAAAGAGAGAGGGAGAGAGAGAGAGAGAGAGAGAGAGAATGAGGGAGAGAGAGAGAGACGAGAGAGAGGGAGGGAGAGAGATAGAGACGAGAGAGAGGGAGAGAGAGGGGAAGGGAAAAGAGAAAGAGAGAGGGAGAGAGAGAGAGAGAGAGAGAGAGAGAGAGAATGGGGAGGAGTGATAGAGAATGAGGGAGAGATAGAGAGGGGAGAGAGGGAAAGAGAGGGGAGGGGAAAAGAGAAAGAGAGAAGGGAAGGAGAGAGAGAGAGAGAGAATGGGGGAGAGAGATAGAGAGGGGAGAGAGGGAGAGAGGGGGAGAAAGAGGGGGAAGGAGATAGAGAAAGAGAGAAGGGGAGAGAGAGAGAGATAATGAGGGAGAGAGATAGAGAGGGGAGAGAGGGGAGAGAGGGGGAAGGAAAAAGAGAAAGAGAGAAGGGAAGGAGAGGGGAGAGAGAGAGAGAGAATGAGGGGAGAGATAGAGAATGAGGGAGAGAGGGGGAGAGAGAGAGAGGGGGAAGGAAAAAGAGAAAGAGAGAAGGGGAAGGAGAGGGGGAGAGAGAGAGAGAGAGAGAATGAGGGGAGAGAGATAGAGAATGAGGGGAGAGAGGGAGAGTGAGTGAGTGAGTGAGTGAGTATGGTTTTACGCCGCTTTTAGCAATATTCCAGCAATATCACGGCGGGGGACACCAGAAATGGGCTTCACACATTGTACCCATGTCGGGAATCGAACCCGGGTCTTCGGCGTGACGAGCTAACGCTTTAACCACTAGGCTACCCGACCGCCCCGGAGAGAGGGAGAGAGGGGAAGGAAAAAGAAAGAGAGAAGGGGAAGGAGAGAGGGAGAGAGAGAGAATGAGGGGAGAGAGATAGAGAGGGGAAAGAGAAAGAGAGAAGAGGAGAGAGAAAGAGAGAGAGAGAGGGGGGAGAGATAGAGAATAAGGAAGAGAGAGGGAGAGAGATAGAGAGGGGAGAGAGGGAGAGAGAGGGGGAGAAAGAGGGGGAAGGAGAAAGAAAGAGAGAAAGGGAAGGAGAGAGAGAGAGAGAGAGGCCAATAAATAATCACTTTAGTCCAGGTAAACCAGTGATAGACATTGTGAGCAATACTCAACCCCAAAAGGTCATGATGACACAGTCGTGTTGCACTCTCCACCCCTCATCTCAGCCAGCTATTCTAACAAAGGCACAAGGGCCCGATACAACTCACTCTGAGTCCCCACAGGAGACTGAGTGAAGTCCTAACGACATAAACAGAAGCATAACCATACAAACACCACATAACAAAGTACACGTAACAACATTCCATCTACAATGCCATCTAATTCAAAACCAAAAACACACATTAAATCATCTCAGGCAAGAAAACAGAGTTATTAGTAAGGTAAAAAGTCTCCTTATCTTCTATTTGAGACGGAGACTCAGAAACACAACCTACACGAAGAGGCCCGTAACACCCATTATACATGCCACATCAGTTGGAAATGCTACTTTCCTACTGACCTATTCACACACAATCTACATTATTGGCAGTATAAAGACAGAGATGAATCATGCAGAATATACAGTGCTCTTTATTTGTGATATACAATGAATATATATCATGACACAAACAACACTGGCAGATTCCCTAGACAGGTGCCCTCGAGACAATCAGAGTGGACCTCGAACTTCATTATGTACGAAGCCGTAAAGGCAACTATGCTTGTTGTAAGAGGCAACTAACAGGATCAGGTGGTCAGGCTCGCTGACTTGGTATCCCAATTGCATTCATCGATGCTCATGATGTCAATCACCAGATTGTCTGATACAGACTTGATTCTTTACAGACCACCACCATCTAGCTGGAATATTGCTGAGTGGGCATTAAACAACAAACAAACAAAGCTAATCTATCAACTTGTCACAGCTACTGCTAATCTAGCCACATGTTCTAGCTACTGCTGTAAGAAGTCATGCTAAGCAATGGAAGTGCTAGTTACCATGTCCCTTACCTCCTTGGCTCGAGGTACTGCTTCAGAGGATGGTCGACGTGTGGGACTAAAGGACTTCGTGTTGATCTTGTCATAAAGCTGAAACAGACAAAACCGGGGTAAATATGGCGCCGGTAACGTGTATCAGTATTCTCTGTTTAAACATGGCATACAGCTTTTATAGCACTGCCAGACATTTGCAACAACAACAAAATGCTTGCATGCTTCTGTTACTGATGTCCAAGGACATTCTTCCCTGAAACTTGAAAATGTTACTAACCTGTTAGAAGAAAATGTATATAATCAGGTTCTGAAATGAGACGGCTATCATTTCATGTCAACCACCACCCTCCACTAAGGGGTGGTTTGGTAGCCTAGTGATTAAAGCATTTGCTTGTCATGGAGAAGGCCTGGGTTTGATTCCCCAAATGGTTTCAATATTGCTGGAATACTGGCAAAGTGGCTTAAAACCATGCTCCATCATCCACACATCTCAACTTGAGCAGCTGAAGGTGCTTCACAAATCACACCCATGAGGAAAATAAAACTTCAGTGTCTTATGATGCAAGTGAACACTTGAACTACTGGGCTGGCAATGTAGTGAGTGAGTGAGTGAGTGTTGTTTTACGCCCCTTTTATCAACATTCCAACAATATCACGGCGGGGGACACCAGAAATGGGCTTCAAACATTGTACCCATGTCGGGAATCGAACCCGGGTCTTCCGCATGACGAGCGAACGCTTTAACCACTAGGCTACCCGATCAATTTTGCGTTTTAAGGCCACATAGTATTTAGGTTTTTCGGACGTTTTTTATGCCAAGTTGACTACCTTTAATCTTGTATTGTTGTTTGTACCCAGAATGTTGGTTGGTTGATTGCTTTGTTGGTTAACACCAGTCAGCAAAACATGAAGAAAAATCCTTTTTATTCAGAAATCACCCCGATCAAAATAAAACTTCCCACTGCAACTCTCTTATTAGTGTACAAAGTGTTCCTTGCATTGGAAAAGAATCCATGAAGTAGTTCTCAAGTTATAGGTCACAAATGTCGAAGTTAAAAAGCATTCTAACTTCAAAACATGTAAAACTTCACATAATCCACTTATCGCAATCAAACTTTCCACTGCACCTCTTCCATTGGTTTGGAAACTATTGGTATAGAAAATGTTCACCAAGTTTGAAAAAAAATCTTAGAAAGTAGTTTTCAAGTTATAGATCGCAAAGAAAAATGTCCTCAGAAAGACGGACGGAAGAATGGACGGAATTCCGTGGTATAACTATGTACCCCGCCCTTTAGGTCAGGGGGAAAATAAACACTATTCTGCAATATTGCAATGTGTCCTCTTATTTTATTCCTTGAGTATATCAACAACTGATGTACTGTATTTGACGTAATAAGCCCCCAGGATGCTCTCAAAATTAGAAAAAGGGGGCGCTTCTTAGAATATAATTTTGGTGAAAAAAAATTAGAATTGAGAGATCGTAAATTCCGTGGTTTGGCAAACGCAGAAAACAACCGACCTCAGTATTTTACCCATTTAGATATATACGTCTCTTATATATAATACTAACTGCATGCTTGCATGTATTAACTTACATATCTATGTATTTGTGATAACGCAACTCCACATTAAAGATGAGTAAAAATGATCATCGACGGCCATTGTTCCAAACAGGAAGTACCGGTAATCAGCAGGTAAAGTTGGGCGCTTATTGCGTCAAATATGGTAATTGCTGTGAGAAGCAACCACTTGATCTGCTGGGCTACCTCACAACCCTTTAGCACTGATAATACATGCTCTGTGATAGTGCTGTCAACCAATTCATTCACTCAATCATTCCCACAAACGGTGATCCACAAACTAACTCGGACCAACCCCGTAGAAGACCTGTCCATCACAAGAGCTCCATGGCCTCTGGTCACTGCCTTCCTCTGGCCAATCACTGACCTGAATGACTCGTGACCTGGGGTCACATGACATTGCAGATTAATCAGCTTACACTGGTGTGGGGTCGGTAAATGGTGGTTGAGGGTTTGTGGAGTGTCTATTAATGAGTTTATGCGATGTCCGTAATTGTGAATTGAGAATGTTATGGACACAAATATGATAAACGGTTGTTATTTGGTCTAATGCGATAATTCATGCAAAATCCAAGCCTCAGTGGTACCACGGGATCAAATTACAATCAGAATTTCATATTGATTAAAGTCTCACTTAAAAACTTGTTCAGAAAAAAATTCAACAAATTCCTTTTTAAAATTTATGTGAAAAGTGCAGCCAGCTGTAGAACAGCTATTCCAAAACCAAATTGTATTTCCAAAACAGCAGTAATTAACACAAGTGTTCGTGCGAGTTGCCAACTGATGATTGAGACCACTTATTCGCTTACAAGTCAGTGAACAATTTGGGAATCCTATATTTGGATTATAATTAAGTGAGCTGGGTTTAACATAGCCTTGCTCCAAGGCTGCACTGAAAGAAAAGTCCATGGATGTGTAGTAATTCTATCCTCCTAATAGGCAAGTCTAGATATGGGACTCCAGTCTCTTATAGGGACAACTTGTTCTTATAATCTAGAAATTATGATTTAAACTAATGATTATTGCCTTAGAGACTTGTGCAAGTCTAGGTTTAACACTTTGAACAGCTTTTCAGTTAAATATTAAGGTGAGGTTAAATGGGGTTTATATTCATGAATACTCCACCAGGCACTGACACTGTATACTCATAGATGTGTTTCAAAATATTCATCTGTTAAGATAAACCTTGATCTTTGTCTTAAAGAAATCAAGGGTAATTCAAGTTTCAGATCCTATGTAATGCAAACCCTGTCCCAAGCTAAGATCCGGGTAAGAATAGGTCTTCAGCAACAGATACTTGTCGAAAGAAGCGACTAACAGGATCGGGTGGTCAGGCTGGCTGACTTGAAAGATGCATGTCATCGTATCCCAATTGTGTAGATCGATGTTCATGATGTCAGTCAGTGGATTGTCGAGAACAGACTCAATTATTTACAAACCTCTGTCACATATCTCGAAAAATGTTGAGTGAGGTGATAACAACAAGCAAAACCAAAGCAAACCAAGTAATCAAATCTTAATTGAAGACAAATATATGTCCTTACACAGTTCTGTTGGAAATAGCTACTTCTTTCTTGTGAAATCTCATGCCGTCATTATTGGCACAAATCAATACGAGAACGTCCGGAGCTAAGATCTATCAAACCCTTTACAACTGGATCTGTGAATCGGTACTGAATACGCAACCTTTACATCCTGGCAACTCAATGTGTCTGTTGAGTTAGGAAGACTACAGCGCCAATAACATTAACGGGCATCCACTTGTTCATCCCTCACAACATCTCATATTAACATCACACATCAAATATTAACATCATTCATCACCCACAGATCATCAATCTGCCCACTTTTTCAAATATTTAACATCCATCATCCCAAAGTACTTTCTTCAGCTCATTCTTAAATTGTCCATCACGCCAGTTCCATCAATCTAGGAATTTCTTTCACTCAAAAAATCAAATTGTCAGCAGTATACAGCATGTCTGACAGATCACACAAAAAGTGTCCTCATTCAGGGCTGATATAAAAACAAGTCCAGGCCAGATTATGAATTATTTATCATTCAATCTTCAAACTACAATTTCATTAATCACAGCCTGAAACTAGTTGTAATCACGGAAGTGACAGGGAGGAATCAGGGATTCAGAGAGCATCCTGCCGTATCCCCTCCTCCTGCCGTATCCCCTCCTCCTTCCGTATCCCCTACTGTTATCAGCCAGTCAAGATGGGCAGTCAGTCAGAGAGGTCTGATATAACATGTGAAACATGAACTTTAATCCATCCCGAATTTGCCAGAAAGTCTAAACCTGTTGACATTCTGCCCTATTTGAATGAGCTACATACTCAGGGATTAATCTAGACCGGCCCTGGGGCCCATATTCTCCAGAAAATGTCGGTAAAAATTACCAAACTGGAATAAAATATTTCCCATTCATGCTGTTTCAGTTTCATGTTGTTTAATGCTGCACTCAGCAATATTCCAGCTATATGATGGCGATCTGTAAATAATCGAGTCTGGACCAGACAATCCAGGGATTGACATCATGAACATCGATCCACGCAATTGGGACACGATGCCATGCATCAACCAAGTCAGCGAGCCTGACCACCCGATCCCGTTAGTCACCTCTTACGACAAGCATAGTCACCTTTTACCACAAGCATGGGTTGCTGAAGACCTATTCTACCCCGGATCTTCACGGGTCCAGTTTTTCAGTCATAAAATGACATTTCAGGTTTTTGTTGGAGGAAAGCTGAAGCTAAATCCATCAAATACATTTACTTTGGTGAAAACCACAAGCATGGGCATGGTGCTTTCAAACCTAGAAACAATCAGGATGAATCTGAGATTCAAACCCATGATCGTAGGGTTCTGACATTCCAAAGGGAGGCAACTCCATATTTAGCTTTCCGGGGCGACTGGGCCACCAACATCGGCAGCAGACAGCAGTGACGGCGCCACATTGTTGTTTACAACGGAATGTCTGCTAAAATGATAAAATTTTCTTTGAAAAGTGAGCAGGGGGACCTAATCTTGTCATCTGGAATTTCTACTTCAGTGAGTGAGTGAGTAAGTATGGTTTTACGCTGCTTTTAACAATATCCCAGCAATATCACAGCAGGGAACACCAGAAATGGGCTTCACACATTGTATCCATGTTGGGAATCGAACCCGTGTCTTCGGCATGACGAGCGAACGCTTTAACCACTAGGCTACCCGACCACCCCTAATTTCTACTTCAACAACACTTGTTTTCAGGAATCAGTGAACACAATACAATACTCTCCTTGAAACCTTCAAACATATCTCACTGGAAGCAGTTCAATAGTTGATGTGGGATAAAAAAATGCAATTCTTAAAGTTTGGTGCGGTGCCATTGGCAAATCTGGGAGTTTATCATCTGACAAAATTAACGGTTTAAAGTTTTGACAGTTCAAAGTTAATAAATCACAGCTAAAATCTCCATAAACCGACTCTGAAATATATGGCATCTCCATCATAGGTAAAGGAGAGGG